GCCACATCTCATGACCAGTTATTAACATGGTACAATGAGAGCATAAAGGATGGTCTCCATTAGAATGGGCGAGGGGACAGACACATGAGAGGGATTGATGCTTGAATGGGTTATACATTTTGACTAGAAATTAGATGAGGATGGCAGGGAAGGATATTCCAAACAGCATAACAGCAGCATGTGTGTAATACTGACCCAGACCTACCCAGAGTTCTACCATCACTATCATATGAAAGAGAGTACACGCAAAAGGCATGTACTCTCCTGAAGTCTGAAAAGAACACGAAGAAATTATTACTACTGGAGTGAGACATCTTTGTATAATCCACATCCAAGAGCATATTAAACCCACAAATGCTGAAAGTTTTGTCCAGAGAAAATTTAGGAGTCTTTAAAGGCAAAACGATAAGAAGCCACTGAAAAAACTTTGGTAAGAATACCCAGTTATAGGAAGGAACTAGGAAAATGTGACAATGTGGAATCCCAACTTAGAAGAGGGCCCGCAAGAAGGAATAGAAAGTTAGAGCATGAGGGGTTAAGGGGAAGCTGGATTCTCTTTAGTCCTAGCTTCAGGGAGGTGACCCTGCCATTTTTATGGTCAAGAGAGAAAGCAGAAGGCAGGTAAGTTAGTCACATGGAGGTGAATTTAGAGGAAAAAAATAGTAGGGAGATATGGCGTAGTACCTAAAGAGACAGATGCATCCATTGCTGATTTCCTTAAACTCTGGGTGGTGGATGAAACATGCTAAAGTAGATCTTCAGGGTGAGAACAGACACTAAGGGAAAAAGGGAAGGGGGATAGACTATTTGTTGTTCTGAGAGATTTCTAAAATAAAGAAGAGTATACCTATCAGGATAAGTTCTTATTCTAACAAGTAGTCACAAAAATTTTGGTGGCTTAACTCAGTAAGATTTATTTCTCCCTCGCATCACAGTTTGATGCAGGTTGTTTGAGAGGAGAAATCTCCTGCTCTACTTAGTTATTCAGGAAGCCCTGTCTCCTTCCATCTAGTGGCTCCGCCATCTTTTAAATTCTCGAGTTCTACCATGGATCCTCCACATAATGACCAAATGGGATAAAACAAGTGCACGGAAGATCATGGTAGTGGTTTTACTTTCAGGCGCCAAGCCTGGATGTGGCTTCTAAACTTCTACCCGCATTCCGTTGGTCAGACTCAGCCAGATGGTGCTCACTGATCTGCGTGTGAGGCAGGGGCATGCAATTTAGTTGTGCACCCAGAGAAAAGGAAATGGGTTTGGTGAGGCCATGGTACTGTCTCTACCCCAGGCAGGTACAGAGTGTTCTATAGCCAAGATCAGGGTGAGTATGTTGAGCCTAAGGTAGTCAAGGATGGGAAAGGGACAGTTCATGAAAGGCTAAATGCTAAAGTAGGACAATTAAAAACAGGGGCAAAAAAAAACATTTTTAGCAAGCAATGATGTCAGAGAATAAACACTCTTTCTCTTCTTGGGCCAATTTTAAAGGATGACAGTTTGACCCGAGGACGTGGTCAGTAAAATTTGGGGAAAAGTCTTTCAGTTAGTGCTAAAGGAACCAAGGGGAGAAGAGGAAGATGATATACCATATGGCACCAATAGGAAATGCTATATCTATCTATCTATCTATCTATCTATCTATCTATCTATCTATCTATCTACCATCTATCTATCATCTATCTATCTATCATCTATCTATCATCTATCTATCTATCATCTATCTATCATCTATCTATCTATCTATCTGACTCCTAATCACTCCTCTGTCAACCCTCTTCTGTACATATTCCTCACACAAGAAAATATTCATGTAAAAACAATTCAAAATACTGCAGGACACAGGATGTGATCAGCCCCAGGACTTGCACACAGAAATCAATACAGAGCTTTAGATGTTAAACTAGTCTCAGTATAGACAGGGCTCTTGCCACCTCACGAAAGAAGCAGTCTCACGCCCTGGCCGGGGACAGCCTTGGACACTCCATCTCAGGTTAGCTTTTCCCTGGGGCAAGAAACAGACAGACCTGGACATATGTCATAACAAGTAGGACATGGAACCCTCCCCTCTTCCACCAGTAACATTAATAATACGTAGCATTTATTGACAGGTCACTACGTGCCAGGCACTGTGTCTCACACAACTTAATGGGATAGGTACTATTTTATCACATTTTACAGATGAAGAAACTGACACCCAGAAAGTTTCCATAACATACTCTAAGTTACCCAGATGGAAAATGTTGAAGGAAAATTCAAATTACTTGGCTTCCAGAATTTGTGCTTTTGAGGACTATATTTTTCTTTTGGAAAACTGTATTTCTTCAGTGTAAAAAGGCAGGATGGGGTGAGGAGTAACAGACAAAACAATTACCAACCAATATTTTGTGATGAAAATAAAAGTTAGGTTTTCTGATAGTGGAATCCACTGAGTTGACTGGCTTACTTCTTGCTTTATTATCTTTGTCATTGCAAAAGCCTACAAAGAGGAAATGCGTTTATCTTATTTTACTTGAACTCCTTCTTTTCCACACCTCCTAGTCAGTGTGTTCTCTGCTTTATATTCCCAGCTGGACTCTCAGGCTATTTATTTTCCTTTGTGATCACTAATGCTGTGAGCTTCTTACCCTGGCAGGGGGAGGGGGTGGAAAGGAGATTCAAAAAGTTGCATCTTGATGTTTTAAACTTTTGACACTATATCTTGAAGCACAACAATATATCTTTTTGTTCATTATCCTTTAGAATGTTAGGATGCTAAGCAAAGAGGAACAACTTGCTTCCTCTGTAGTCTGGAATGGTCTATGATAGGTCAGGTAACACAACACGGCATCCCAGCAAATATGCTATAAATATTTGTGTACAAGATCTTTTCAAAAAAAATTTATTATGTTCAGTTAGTCAGCATACAGTGTGTACAAGATTTGATCTTGGGATAGACAGGAGATTGAGAGAGAGAGAGAGAGAGAGAGAGAGAGAGAGAGAGAGAGAGAGAAGAGGTTATTCAACACCAAGTACAGAGCTACTTTCAATGAGCCCGTCTCAAACACCAGTACTGAACGCTTCAGATACTCCCTCCCAGAGATCATTAAATCCAGTTTACAACCAGACCAATGGCTCACTTCTTGATTTCTGAAGTCACTTGTTCAATTCCCTTGACTTCAGGGCCAAAACGAATTGTTTATTATTTATAGAGAGTATAAAAAAGTCATCGCAATCTGTGGCTGGTTCCAAGGATAGTAACTTGTATTCTTATAACTTGCACATGGCCAAATTTCTGAAAAGATTTACGTATGTTAAATGTATGCAGATGATCATTTTAAAACCATTTCTCCCAGCAATACTTATTAAGCATGTAATTTTGAGAAATCACTGCATTTGGAGGCTATGGGATATACAGAGACCTTCAGAAAGCAGTTTGACAATCCTTAAGAATTGTCTACGAAAAAAAATAAGGGTTTCTATAATGTGCCATCAGTCCGCGGGTAACTTCTCTGGGACACCAGTTTTCTCATTTCATGAAACAAGATTTTATTAACTCAATGAAGAGTAGAGTCAGGTTAAAGACTGGCTCTGGAGTCCCACGGGCCCTCCAGAGATTGCTGGCCCCCGGATTTGGGCCCAGCTTCCTCATCCGTGGCAGTGGGTGGTATAAGAAAATCCTTTCCAGGGGCATGAGGATGAAATCACCCACTTAAACCTCTTACCATAGTGCCTCCCCACTGACAAGTGATCAGGCTGTTTTCCATCTTTATGATTGCTGATGGAACCCAGTGTACACTCGGCATTGTGAAAGAGATCCACAATACAAAGTTGTGTAGCACGCCAATCCTCCAGGCGTTCCCTTTGTAAAGAGCAAGAAAGTCAACACAGGTTTGTAATTTAAAAAAAAAAGGGGGGGGGTTAAGAGCTCTAAGAGTTTGTACCTGCTGCCAAAGGCGCACAAAGAGGAAGCACCCGATTCTCCCTGGTGAACGAGAGTAACCTTCACCAAAAAGCTTCAGGAGCTTTCTTGAGAGTAGAACCAGATGTCTAAGACACTTCAAGGCTTAAGTTTTTTCTAACTACTCATCTAGAATTCCGTATGTAGGAAAGTCCTCTTTCAACATCCAATATTCATAACTCATTCATGCATTAACTTTCCATCCAGAAATGCAATCGTTAATTACTGCTGGACACCCTTCTGCCACAAAACCAAACAAAAATTCCTAAGCAAAGGTAGCTCTGGGTTTCGGCTATAAGGCATTTGTGATGCACTCTTTCATAAAAAATCGCAGCCCCAAATCATAGGCCCAATTAGGGAAAGGGCTGGTCAAGGCTCCGATTTTTCAGCAGCGTTTGTCAAAGGTGCTCCTTTTAAACCGGGCGCCAGTGCTGGGTCAGCACTTTCACACGGATCAGAGATGAACTGAACGTCGTAAGCACAATGTCAAAGGCATGGGTGCCTGCAGGGAAAGTCTGTGGGCAGATGATCCGCTCAGGGTCGTCGGGAACCGAGACCCCCGGGGCGCCTAGCAGGGTCCAGGTGCCCGCCTCCGACAATTTCGCTCCCCGCCCCGGGCCGCCCTCAGTGCCAGGGTACACTGGGGTTCTTCTCCGCCCGCAGACTCAGCTTCATCGCTGGGGTCTGTACTCCCTGAACACAGAACTCGGGCGGACCGCTGTCAGTCAGGATCGGCTTGGAAAAGCTGCGCGGGCGGGGGGCGAGGGTGGAAGCTCGCAGCCGCGCCATGCAGAAGCGCTGCGCCCCTCGCGCGCTCTCCGCGGATGCCCACACCTCCACTCCCCGGGGCTGTGCGCGTTCTGGTGCGCGGGGGCCGGGCGGGCCGGGGCGGAGCGCGCGCTGGAGACCCGCCCCTGCTCCCCTCCCCCTCTCGCGGAGATTGACGGGGCCTTGGGCACCCGCCCCAGCCAATGAGCGCGTCCCGGGGCGGGCCCTGGAACCAGCTGCTGAGGCTACTTAGGAGTCTTCGGCTCCGTTGTAGGGAAGCAGAACGGAGTCGGGACTGCCCAGGTGGAGTCGGGCGCCCCAGCCAGCGCGGACCGGCAGGCGCACGGGCACCGCGCCGGGTACCGCACCGCACCGTTCCGCGCGGGGCAGAGCGGAGCCGCAACCCCACGCGCCGCCCAGGACCCACTCGCCATCGCCGCCTCCGCAGCACCCATGGGGACCAGGAGACTTTAAAGGAGTTTGGGGTTTCGGGAGCAGGGAAATCACGGGTACGGAGAGGCGCCTTTCTTTGCCTTGGAAACGGTTTTTCTTCGTCCGACTTTGGACCCTGTGCCGGGTAGGAGGGAAAGGGGTCTTTTGGCTGAAAGTGGACCTCCCTACACAGCCCGCACCCGCAACCCGCACACAGACACCGCACTGGCTTCCCCCATCTTTCCCTTTCCTCTTTGTTAGGTTATTTTAGACAGAACGGCCTCGCCCTGGCGCAGCCCGATTGGCTCTGCTGGGGAGAAGGCAGGAGAAGTAAGGGGCAGAGTGCACCTGCTTGTGTGGGCAGGTGTGCCCGGGTGCGTGGGTGTACGTGCACTGACGAGCGTGCAAGCGTGGGGTTAGAACTGTGTACGAATGTGGGGGTCTGAGTGTGTCGTCGCGAAGGTTTGTCATTGTGTACGTATATGACATTGTCACACCGATATACCAGCCGGCCTGTCAGTGCCTGGACTCCTAAGTGAACAAAATTTTCCTGGTGTCAAGTGAGTGTCTGCGAATGTGTCCGATTGTCATTGTGCGAGGCGCTGTCGGGAGGAGTGCGACCTAGCGCAAAACTGAGAGGCTGGCGAGGGTGGGGACAGAAATGTGAGCGCAGCTTGCTCCAAGCTCTGAGGCCTTAGGCGCCCCTTCTTCCTTTCAACCTACCCCTCGGTCCTTTCCGGGGTGTCCGTCCCCCACGCTGCCCCAACCCGTACTGTCCGCCCCACTGGGACCCTGCACGCCTTCCAGCCGCCTGCCTTTTCTCTTGTGGGAGTTGGACCGGGTTCCCGGACGGGATCCGAGGCTGTGGTCGTGGCGTCTGCTCTCGCCCCAAGGACTGGTGGCTTCTGCACCCGTCCTGCCGCTGGGGCGGAACGGGTGACTCCAGTACCGGCGTGTAGGCGGGCAAGCAGGTCCTAGGGGCGCTGCACGTCCTGGGGAGGGGTAGCCCGATTCTCATCGTTGTCTCTGCCTCTCGTCTGTGCTTCCGCAGATCCCCGCTCCTGGCCCTCGCTTAGCCGCGTCATTGATGGGCAACCAACTGGACCGCATCACCCACCTCAACTACAGCGAGTTGCCCACAGGGGACCCGTCGGGGATCGAGAAGGACGAGCTGCGGGTCGGGGTCGCCTACTTCTTCTCGGATGAGGAGGAGGACCTGGACGAACGCGGCCAGCCCGACAAGTTTGGCGTGAAGGCCTCCCCGGGCTGCACTCCCTGCCCGGAGAGCCCCAGCCGCCACCACCACCACCACCACCACCTGCTGCACCAGCTGGTCCTCAACGAAACTCAGTTCTCCGCCTTCCGGGGCCAGGAATGCATCTTCTCCAAAGTGAGCGGCGGCCCTCAGGGCGCCGACCTGAGCGTCTACGCTGTCACAGCGCTGCCCGCGCTCTGCGAGCCCGGCGACCTGCTGGAGCTGCTGTGGCTGCAGCCGACGCCGGAGCCGCCCGCCCCGCACTGGGCCGTCTACGTGGGTGGCGGGCAGATCATCCACCTGCACCAAGGCGAGATCCGCCAGGACAGCCTGTACGAGGCGGGCGCGGCCAACGTGGGCCGAGTGGTGAATAGCTGGTACCGCTACCGCCCGCTGGTGGCCGAGCTGGTGGTGCAGAACGCCTGCGGCCACCTGGGCCTCAAGAGCGAGGAGATCTGCTGGACGAACTCGGAGAGCTTCGCCGCCTGGTGCCGCTTTGGCAAGCGGGAGTTCAAGGCGGGAGGGGAGGTGCCGGCTGGCACTCAGCCCCCGCAGCAGCAGTACTATCTCAAGGTGCACCTGGGCGAGAACAAGGTGCACACGGCCAGGTTTCACAGCCTGGAAGACCTCATCCGCGAGAAGCGCCGCATCGACGCCAGTGGTCGCCTGCGAGTGCTCCAGGAGCTCGCCGACTTCGTGGATGACAAGGAGTAGCCCTGTGGGGGGCCTCCCGCACCTCCTGTCTCCCCGCGCCCCGCTCCCTTCCCCGCACCCGGGCCTCCAGGCCGGCGATCCACGACCCCCGCCCCCTCGAGCGCCCTCCTGCGGCGGCCAGTGCCCAAGGCTGCACCCTCGCACCCCTCCGGCAAGTGGCAGGAAGTCTCAGGAACTGGCCCCGGGACCAAAAGGCAGCTGTGCGCGCCTGGCGGAGACCCCCGGTGGTGGTGATGACGGTGTTGGGAAACCCAGCGTGCGCTTTCCCCTTGAGTTGTAACGGGGGAAAGAGAAAGGGCTGAGGGGAGCAGGGACGTGGCTTTCCCCGCGGGTCACTAGTCCGTGACTGTCACTGGACCTACTGTAAAGGGAACCATCACCGCCCCCAAACGCGCACACACAGACCAGTCAGAGGTGAGAAATGATCTTTTCAGGGCACAGTTCAGCTCCTGTATGAATGTGCCCCCAGATTGCAGGATTTCCAAGAAATCGAGCCTGTCCCTTAGGCACTTGTGAATAATAATTACACAAGCGAGCACTTCGGGACTCCGGGTTATCCCGAGGCTGCCCGGCATTCTTCCAGCTCTCCAGCCCCAAGTCTCCCGACGTTGTATTCCAGGCTCCGGGTAAAGCTCTTGGGTTTGCTTCCAGTCCTTTCCACCGAGGGAAGCGAATGCCACGCTCGCCCCATTTGCCTGTGAGTCTCCCTCGCTAGCAGAAGGGAAGCCTTTCTGGTCCCGAGAGGAAAATGGCGCAGCTAATTTGGTGCGGAGCGCGGGCCCCGCCCCCGGCGGGGAAAAGGTTCACCTGGTGTCTGGGAACTTCAATTTGTGGAGAAGGTCGCTTGTTCTAACCCTAGATTGCTCCTTCCTTGGGCTGCATTTCAAAAACAGTAGTATTTTTTAAAGGGTTGGAGGGAGAAGACATGGCAACATTCCAGAAACCAGCATTATTACAGCACCATAGCCAGGATATTTAGTTTGGCTTTTCCTAACATAGAAATCTTAGAAGGTGGGGAAGTGGAAATAAAGTTTTTAAAAGTGAGAGAGCAGGTTTCCAACTATGTCAACAAAGCCTATCGTGTTGATGTTTTTATTGACCATTTTAGCAACATGCTAATAAAATTTCAAATTGAAATTTTTATTTTCATGGCTTTAATCCATGATAGTTTAAATACTGGGGGCCATTAAGAGTGGACTTAGCTAAGAGCTTAGCTAACATTATGCCTTTTCACTCTATTTTTCTCAAATCTTATGAGAATTCTGTTTTTTAATATTGCAGTTAATTTTCTGGCTTGAAACGGCAGTCCTAGTAACGGTGAAGTTATTAAATGTGTATATTGTACTGAATTTCTGTCAGTTAAGGGGTTTTATTGCTTTGGTGGAAATTGCTAGCAGGTTCCATGAGGTTTCATTTCTCCATGTTGTATACCATTACCATTTCACATCTGTATTTCTATTTTTCTTTCTCTCTGCTTGATGTCCTTAAGGAATCCAGAATTGGTGGCTTCCACCCTCCCCGCCTTAGCCAATCCCACAATCCATTCCTGAAAACCAGAAAGGACCTGTAGTAGGATCAGGGCAAATGTGTCTTTTTCAAAATAAATAAATAAATAACGAAGGCTGTTTGAAACCCCTTCCTTGGGCAAGGATGTACCAACTTCTCTCCCTGTGCTGCAGCCCCCGCCTGACTGTTACTTGATTCAGTGTTAGACACCTAGAGCATCTATGTCCCTTTCCAGGGGATTTGTCAAATAATGGTGTTTAGCTAATTGTTGCAAGCAATTGCATATTGACAGCTATGATTTAGTTGGACGGCAAATATGGCCAAAGCCAGTTTCTTGGCATTTCAGAAATAATGCAATAAAAACTAGTCGAGGTTAGCTGAGACTGGAAATGCCTTTTTCATGGTGAAATGATTCATTTCTGTTTTGTTTTTTGGTTTCCATCTGGATTCATTCCCTGATCTTGAATCAAAAGGTCAGATCAATGAAATATGAACTAGAGTATTTTTCTTAAGCCTATTGAGTGATTTATTTTTTAAAAAATGTTTAAATGCATATGCTTTTCTTTCAGCACACATGACAGCAAAACTTTTGTAATAACTAACTTACCTTTGCATGTATGGAGAACTGAAAGTCACTTATTTCCCTAACTTATTCCTCTTTCAAATAGCAGATGGCAGATCATAAACCGAAATTCTTTATTGTATTTATCCTCTCCACATTCTTTACTGTGTCCCCTCCTACTGTACCTTGGCTCTCTGCTGTATTAAACACCATCCTAAGCACTTGTTCAGCAGGACTCCTTCTTCACATTTTGTCCTCCACCTGTCACTCAGAGGGTGGGACTTAAGCAAAAGAAATGAATCGGTTGATCACACCTAATACTAACATTTATCTCCTCTGATGGCACATAATCTGATTTTTCTCTTACCGAGAGGGTCACTGTAACAGCTTAGCAGCTTTACACATGCTGAGACTAAACTGGCGGTAAAAATAAAAGTTTGGCAGCCAAAGCAGAATTTATTCCTGTCCTGGTCTATTACGGATTGTGTTGATGATAAGACTTCTACAAGTTCACAACAGGAAAACACTCGTTACAAAAGGAATTCCTGGTCCGTGTTAGTTACAGCCAATGGCAAAGTAATTCAGATCATAGTGCATCAGGAAGAGGATATTATCAAGATATTATCTAATAGCTTTATCCCGAAAAAGGGTATTTTTAGGGCATTATTAGCAATGTCAGTGAAACCAAAAAGAGCGAAGTTCCCTTGGGAGATGGCATGGACGGACTTGATTTTTATTTCGAGTGAATATAATACCTCTGTATTTTATCAGAGTTGTAAAAGTTAAAGCCAGAAGCCTCCTAACGTTTTCTTAGAGGTCAGGAATTTAGTTTTGGTTGTAGTTCTCCTCGAGAGAACAGAGCTTCATAGGACCTTTCATGATGCTCACTGTGGCTCAGCCGGAGGTCAGGGCTATGGGCTATCTGGTATAGAGGAAAAGACCCTTATGCGTCCGTTCTTTCTCCACCTTCAGAGGCTGACTCTGAAAAGCAAAGTACTAAAAAAAAAAAATTTTTTTTTTACTCCAAAGAGTGCTCTGCTACACATTTTGTTATATATAAAAAAAAAAAAGCTAGGGAGGAGGAGAGAGGTTGCGCGTATTTTACACAAAAGCAGGTCCCAAAGTGTATTACTTCATTAAAAAACAATCCTGTAGAAATGACATATATTACATTTATTTTTTAAAAATTTAAAGTATATCCATGAGCCAAATATACATATATATAAAGTTCTCAATATTTAACATTTTAAATCCCTGTAATGACTGCATTTTATGAAAAGACTAATTGTTTTCACTTATTGTTAACCTTTGTGCCATATTAGAACAAACATAGAAGCAGCTGAAAGTCCAACAATGTTTCATGAGTTTACTACCTTTTTTTTAAGAGGGGGGGTAGAGAGAGAGCATGGCAGGAGTGGGAGGTGAAGAGGGCAGAGGGAGAGGGAGAGAGAATCCTATTCCACACCAAGCATAGAGCAGGACGCGGGGCTCCATCCATCTCACAACCCTGAGATCATGACCTGAGCCAAAATCAAGAGTCAGCTGCTTAACCGACTGAGCCACCCAGGTACTCTGATTTTACTATCTTTAAAAAAAAAATTTGATGTTTATCTTCCTCTTTGTGTCATGTTTCTATGGTGAACACTTGTTTGAATAATGATTCCTTTTTTCAGAAAAGCATGCTATTGGTGTTTACAAAATAATGAATTATCTGAATAATCAGTATATCCTAACTCTTCAAACATTATACCTTATTGATTGATTACTTATGCTTCAGGTGTGCTTTCAACATCTCTCAGAGTTCAATGTCTTAGTTATCTAATAAATGGAGCAGGGTGAAATTTCAGTGAAATTAACACTAACTACACAAACATAATAGAGCAACCTAATTTCCTTCTATCTATATACATACCCTCAAAGCTTTCTGCTTTCTCGTTTTTAAACAGATGAACAGAATCTTGTTAGGTTTGACTTTCAGAGATGATTTGCCACATGCATAAAGGGTCTACAGGTGAAAAGTACAGGCTTTCAAATTTCTTGAAACATTAAGAACTGTTTTTAGAAAATGGTTTTCCTACACCCAACTTGACTTTGTTGACAATTACGAGCCATTGGCAGAATTCTATATATACATTTACACATATACACATTTATGTAAACATACATTTACACATATATATACACGTGTATATCTATGTCCACATATACATTCCTACCTATAGCTAGTAATTATATCTTCATTCAGAGACACATAGATGCGCGCACATACACCGACTATTTAGAACAAAATGGAAAGTGACTTGAGACTTATAAAAACAGGAGACACTCTCTGGGTCCTAACAGCTAGTGAACAACCCTCTAGCAAGGCAGCCATGCCTGAAACAGCATAAACAAAAAGAAAATGTAGGAGTTGCAGTTAGTTTTAGTCTCAATTTTAGAAGGATATGTTCCTTGTTTCTCTAACTAAAAAGACCTAAGTTTCAAAGGAAAGCTGTGAAGGTAAGGAAGTAATTATAAAATAAGATGCAAGAAGAAGTGGGAAAGTTAGAACGTGATAAAATAAACGAATGAGCTTTTCAACAGGGGACACCTGTTCTCTAACCGGAGCCAAGAAAGCCGAGATCTTATTTTCCAACCATTTAATAATTTATAAAACCTCTGTGATATCATCACTCACGTGTTGTATGTTGACCTCATTTGAACTTGCAATATAAGAGATTTAGATATTTGAATATGTTGGGGAAAAGGAAAAATAGTCTTCTCTGCCTTTGTTGCTGGGGGTGAGTTTGTGATTATTGCATTCACTGGTGGCACCCCAATGAACGGACCCCCCTACTGTGGGGTACAGTCAATCTCTGTTTGACAGTGCAAGGCACACAGTGGATGCTCAGTAAATATAAGGCTAAGGCATCTCTCTACCTCAGGTGTTCTCGGTGATACCTGATCACTGGGGAAGCCAGAAATCCCACCACTTGGCTTCTC